CCACTGCTGTACAGTACAAGTATTTCGGGGGGGGAGGGTTATTTAGTATTTTAAGGCACTGGATAAGTGAATCAGCAGCTAATGATCTCACAGGTGGGGGGGTGTCCTAATGTATTTCATCATGAGTTAAATATGAATGTTCCAAAGCCATTGTTAATATTAGCAGTAAAGATTCAGTCCAAAGATTAAAGGAGAAAACAAGGAATGAAAATTTTGAGAACACTCTTACCTCACTAAAAGTACTGTGAAAACAAATCCTAATAGCAGAATAAAGGTTTTTTTTTTAAATATAGATTCCATTTTTATTTTCCCAGTTACCTGCAGCATCGGCACCTATTATAGTGGAGAACATAATCAGTGCGTTCCTTGCTCACCAGGAACATACCAAGACAAAGAAGGTCAACTGTCCTGCGAACCGTGCCCAAGCAATGATGGACTAGGAGTAGCTGGTGCACGGAACGTCTCAGAATGTGGAGGCAAGTGTAATCTGACTTTAGCTGTTGCCTTGGGACGTAAGATATTAAGTCTTGAAAGACCGGGCTGACTTCTTAGGCAGTAGCCTGTACCACAGAGCAGTGTTCCATATCATCATGTCTGCATCAGAAGGCGCAAGTGCAGCAGATCAGGTGTTCACAGTGCTGCACAGCCGTTGCACACAGAGCACAGGTCAGATTAGTTTGAGCTCACAATTGCTCCGTGTGAAAGGAAAGTGCTCTAACACAGCTTTATGATTTCACATACCAAAAGAAGGTCAGTAGCTTGTGGACAAGTTTGTGTGTAGTTCCTGTTCTTCTCTTGAGAAGTCTCTGTTAGTTTTCAGAGGAATCCAGGGATCCTAGAAATATAGTTTGTCAGCTCTTTAGCATTACCAAATAGAGTACTATTATGCTGCTTGTATAACACTGAAAATGGACATATTCTATATGGGGAGGCCATTTATTTAGGGCCTGCAAAACCAATCTAGGGAATTACTCTTTTCAAAGAAGGAGTACTCTTCAGCTTTTAAATATCGCAGGCAAGTCTTAAGTATGTGGTCAGTGTGTTTTTCAGTAAAATCAGTGGGTCCTCAGGACTCTACTTGGGAATGAGTCCACTTAGTTGAGACTAATCCCGCTGAAGATCAGGCTGAAATACAGTGGGGTCTTGACTTGAGAACTTAATCCGTATTGGAAGGCGGTTCTCAAGTCAAAAAGTCTGTAGGTCAAGTCTCCGTTGACCTACAGTGCATTGAAAACCGATTAATCCCATAACAGCCCGTTTTTGTTCCATTTTGGTTTTTTTCTGGTCTGTAAGTCAAATCTCAGTCTGCAAGTCAAACCTAAATTTTGCGGCCAGAGAAGTCTGTAACTCAAAAAGTCTGTAAATCAAGCCGTCTGTAAGTCAAGGGTCCACTGTATGCTTAACTTTGGTTTGATCGTTTGATGCTGTTTCATTGGTAGTAGCATATGCATGTTCATGGTGCTGTTGAGCAGAGAGATTACATCACCAATCAGTGTAATCTGAGTAAGCAGAGAAACTGTTTACACAGTTAACTATTTTTTTCAGATAAAAACAAAAGAAAAATTTAAAAAGAAGTTTTTGTCTTCATTTTTTCTTTTGTTTTTGCCTGATACGCTAGCACAACTACCTCTTCCAAAACTATTACTAATTTTTGCACATCTGTGCAAAAACTATTCTCTTGAAGCTATAGGACCACTGTCATTTTATGTCAGAGCCATGTTTTAGATTCATCATTATTAATGACATATATACGTATTTTTACAATAACACAATGGGACTTTTCAATTTTTAGGGCAATGTTCTCCTGGACATTTTTCTTCTGATGGCTTTAAACCTTGTAGATTGTGCCCACTTGGTACATATCAGTCTGAACCAGGAAGGACTCTCTGTTTTCCATGTGGTGGAGGCCTGGTGACAAAATATGAAGGTGCAGTGTCATTTCAGAACTGTGAAACAAAAGGTAAGGTTTAAAGTAAGGATCAGCAGCTGCCATCCTTCTAATACATGATGAGATGGGATTAAAAAAAATATTAGTTACTATGCTTTTGAACACCCAGTCTTACGTATCATATTTTTTTTCTCTGTTTTTTGAGTCTTCATCTATAATATACTGAAAAATAACATGGCTTTCTACTATGTAGTTCATTGCTCTCCTGGACATTACTACAACTCTACAACCCACCGATGTATCAGATGTCCTGTTGGAACCTACCAACCTGAATTTGGTCAGAACTACTGTATCACATGCCCTGGAAATACCAGTACAGATTTTGATGGTTCTACTAATGTTACACATTGTAAAAGTGAGTTATATTCATGTTTTTTTTTCTCTTGCTAGAACTATAAAGGCTTAAAGCTGGTCACATAAATTGCAGCCCATCAGGAATACCATTATGAAGTATATCTCTGATTTAGGGGGGAAGATTTCTATGACATGTCATACATTTTTTTTTTCTGCAACCTACAATACTTTTGCACTTATGGGTTGGTTTGAACAAGTTTATGAGTAATCTAGTAAGAAAAGCCAGATTACTCATAAATATGTTTGAACTTGCTTATGGGGTCAAACATAGGTTGCAGAGAAAATGTTATAGAAATCCTCCCCCTACAATAACGAACAAACTCCATATCAGAGGTCATATAGAAAAGGTTCAGAAACCTTTTTTTAGAACAACCCATTTGTTAACAATGACAAACCAGAGAATGTAAACATATCCCTCACCCAAACTCTCTACCATCTCACAGTAAACTGCTAAAAAAGTTCATGGCAACATACTGTATCTCCACAAAACTCTTCTGGTACCAGTGGGCTACTGAGGTTTTTGATGGTAATCTTCCATGTGCAGATTTAATCTGATGGGTGCCACTTGCTGACCACTTTTATATAGTCTACAATGCTTATCTCCACAAAACTCTACTGGTACCAGTGGGCAACTGAGGTTTTTGATGGTAATCTTCCATGTGCAGATTTAATCTGATGGGTGCCACTTGCTGACCACTTTTATATAGTCTACAATGCTTAAAAACTAGGAAATGGTGCAAATTTTGCAGATCAAACCCTTACCTATGTAGAAATGTAGATGTAGAAATCTTTAGTGCATTTGAACATGGGTTGCACTGAAATGAACAAAGTTTTCCAGATAAGGTAAGGATTTGGATGTTCTCAGTTACCAGACACTGTCAAAATGGTCCTGCCACTGAATATAGCCAGCAGGGATGGCTGAGGGACCTAACGCCGAGGGAGGCCCAGAAAGAAAGAACAAGAAATCGGGCCTTCTTGGCAGTGGCCCCTCAACTTTGGAACAGTCCCCCATCAGAGATCTGCGTGGTTCCCTTGCTCTGTGTTTTTAAGAGCCAACATAAGACCTGGCTTTTTAGGCAGGCCTTCCCTCCAGTCAATTAAGTGATTTCTGTTTCCATTTCCATTTCTTTTCTTTTCTTTTCTTTTCCTTTTTTTGCCATCTTGATAATGTATTGATTGGAATTAATCGTTATAATTGTATTCTTTATGATTTTATACATGTATACTGCTGTGTTTTTATCTATGTAAGCCGCCCTGAGCTATTTCCATTTCCATTTCTTTTATTTTCTTTTCCTTTTCCTATTTATTAATAAATAAACTAAATAAATAAAGATATTTGCAGCATACAGCAAATGCATTTAGGCTGAATGAAAGGACTGGTGGAGAAACCTGTGTTCCATGCAATCTGCCTATGCTCATAAATTAGCTTGTTGTCTTCAGGTGCACTAGAGGACACTGTCCCAGTGGCACTGCTGAAAGACATTGAAAGCTAATCTATTTGACGTTTGTACATGGGATGGGAAGTGCTCCATCTTGTTCTTCACTTTAGGCACCAAAATGTCTTCAGTCAGCCCAAGATAATATGAACAGTGCCATCTTAATAAATAAAAACACGATACATAAGCAAGAGATCTGAGTGGAATCCATAGATTATTCTCTTGTTTTGTCTCCCTCATAGATCAACAGTGTGGTGGAGAACTTGGAGACTATACAGGCTACATTGAGTCTCCCAACTATCCTGGAGATTACCCAGCCAATGTTGAATGTATTTGGAATATAAGCCCACCCCCCAAAAGACGGATCCTCATTGTGGTCCCTGAGATATTCCTTCCAATTGAAGATGAGTGTGGTGATGTTTTAGTAATGAGAAAAAGTGGTAAGCTACTCTACTGTTCCAGAAAAAGCCATAAAACAAAGGTGAATGCCATGCCATGATTAATAAAACCTAGAAATAAGCTGAACTATTATATATTGCCACTAGAGTTGGATACAGAAGAGCACTAAGGAGCCCTGTGGCACAGTGGTTAAACTGCAACACTGTAGTCAAGCCTCTCTCTCAACATGAATTCAATCCCAACAGGATCAGGTAGCTGGCTCAAGCTTGACTCGGCCTTCCATCCTTTAAACTTGGTAAAATGAGTAACCAGCTCACTGGGGTAGGGCAAGTTTGCATAATTATGTTGTAAACTGCCCAGAGAATGCTCCAAGCACTATGCGACAGTGTACAGTGGTGCCTCGCAAGACAAAATTAATCCGTTCCACGGTTAATACCATCTAGCGAAAATTTCGTCTTGCGAAGCGCATTTTCCCATAGGAATGCATTGACATTTAATTAATGCATTCCTATGGGGGGGGAGTCAGAAACAAAAAAAAGTCAGGAAAAAGTCACTTACTAGGTACAGTAGACTGAGCCCAGCTCCTTTACAGTGCCTTCGTAGCCCCACAACAGCGCTGGGTCTAAGAGTCTTCCCGAGGCTTGCCTAGCAGGGAAAAAGCCTCTTAGACCCAGCGCCAATCAGCTGAGAGGCAGGGGGAGCAGAGACAACCACAAAATGGCTACTGGCTCCCTGCTGGTTGCCGAGTCTCCATGTTTGGCACTCTTTTTCAGGCTGTTCTGGGGCTACCTGGTAAGTGACATTTTGCTGACTTTTTTTTGTTTCTGACTGTTTTCCCCATAGGAACGCATTAATTAAATTTCAATGCATTCCTATGGGAAACACGCCTCGCAAGACAAAAAATATGGCAAGACGGCCCATCTTGCGAGGCACCAAAAATCTCTCAAGACCCTTTCGTCTTGCGAGTTTTTTGTCCTTCGAGGCACCACTGTATTTGTTGAAACAACAGCAACAATGCTAAGCCACACAGCAACAGTTTAACTGCTCACCATTTGGTAGCTATAGTTGCACAGAGATATTTGTTGTCGTTGTAAACATAGAAGAGGGAAGCTGTAGTATACAATAAAGAACTCTGTTGAAAGGATACAGTTCTTGCAACTGTGTGCAAAACTGTGTATGCTGTAAAATTCTATTCTGAGATAACCCTTATTCAACGTAGTTGGTGTGTGATCAAAGCAGAGCAGTGCCTTGCCTGAAAAAAGATGTGAGGTGTCTGCAAGAGAGTCCACTGAGACTATAGGTGTTCTATAAATTAACCTAGAAAAGAAGTGGTTGTTGAAACAAAGCACCTTTATTGGTTTGTTCAGTAAATACTAACACTAGAGAACTTCGCTTCTGGCCTCTGTTGAACCTGAGAAGCTAGATTTTACAAAAATCGGTGTTACTTTTATTTTGCAGCGTCACCTACATCAATTACTACCTATGAAACTTGTCAGACCTATGAGAGACCTATAGCATTCACCTCCAGATCACGAAAGTTATGGATTCAGTTTAAATCAAATGAAGGAAACAGTGGCAAAGGATTCCAAGTACCCTACGTAACATACGATGGTATAATGCTTGTACCATTTTGCATCTTATTAATATATGTGAATGTGTAAAGATCACTGCTATTGCTATAACATCTGCTGAGTTTTCCCCAGTACCTTATGGGTACTATTGGCTAAACATAAGTTCCTGTCTTTTCTCTATTTGTCCAGTGTTTTTCACTAACTATATAATAATCTTTTGTACAGGTTGGAAGGTACATACATGTATATGCATATAGCTGTTCATTTAAATACACAAACTATATACATATCGCCAATGGAAAGCCATGATACTGTTTTGCCAATTTTTAACTTGCTCTTTTAGGATTTGATTGGAATTTATGATTTGGATATTTTACCAATTCATGTCTCTGATGTACATATATGTCTTATATACTTGAGATCAAAGCATATTGAGTTTTGTGGTTCTTGTGTATACAAGGATGATAAATTTTATGATAAATTTTGCAAGTACGTGATCACATTCCTATCTCAAATTACACTGAATTGTGTCATATGTGACTACTCTGGGTAAGTCTGAATGGCCCTTTGACTTCTAATACAAAACCATAGTGTAGCTCTGTGGAAATGAGCCTTGGGCCCATGTGTACCTTCCTATCCAATTCAAGCATGGCTGTGATATCAGACACATCCATATTTAAACCAGTGGGTTAAACTAACAAATGGAATGAGGAACTCTGCTTAGTTTAAAAAGCATGGGTCCTCCTCTTCTTCTTTTGACTGGGCTAATGAAAGAGAAGACCCTCTGGAGCTCATTCAAGTGGTGTTAAATCCATAATTAAATATTACATGCAGAAATACTCAGTGATAGTCTCATGTAGACATTGCTGATTATGTTTAAAATTCAGAAGTGGTAGTTGGATTTGTGCCATAATCCTCTTTCTTCGTACAATGTTAACTATTGCATCTTGTTGCATCTGCTTCCATATTACACATTGCTAATTTCAGCTATTTTAGAAATAGGGTTTGCAGCTGTTTCGCCAACCTTGGTTACAGATAAACATTATTAGTGTCAACCTTTGTGCAGATATAATGTAGTAGTTAACACTAAGAAAAGAAAATGGGGAATTTGCACAGAAGAAAAGATTTTGGTCCACAATCTGGATTACACTGAACCACCTTTCATTCAATCTTCTCTCCATCCCCACTGCAGTCTTTTTTAGATTTTTATAAAACTGACCACAGCTCTGTGCAAATATAAAAAAAAGACAGATGATTACTTGAATGAATGAATGACTTTATTGCAGTATAAAACCATAGGAGTACATCTAGCACAGTTACAGGATAATACCCTGGTAACATAAGGGAATATCTACAGAGAATTCAAAATTCAAAGTTTAAAATTTAATTTAGAATTTGAACCTTCTAATTCACACATCTTCTTAGTATGAAATTTATTCAAATATAAACAAAATTTTGCTATTTGTTTGGTAATAAAAGCATTTTCATCATTTAAAAGTCTTTCCAAACCCTCCTCATTTGCATCTGCTGTTAATACTGTATATCTAAACATGGCAGGATAAATCTCTCCCTATGTGGGTGATGAAAGGGACAATGGAAAAACAGATGATTACTTACATTACAGAACATTTCATTCTGTAATGAGGTGGTGCTCAATGGGAAAAAAAACTATTAGAAAACAGGATTCCATTCAAAAGACAAAGGTAATCAGTTGGAGTGTTAAGTGTACTGTATCTGTGATCCAGAATTAAAAGAAGTGTTTGTTGCTTATCTAGAGACTACAGACTTTCCATGAGGTGATATGGTAGTGCAATGTTCCTTACTTGGTCTTCTTGGTTCTTTACTTTTCAGAGGATTATCAACAATTAATAGAAGACATTGTTCGAGATGGACGTTTGTATGCATCAGAAAACCATCAAGAAATTTTAAAAGTTAGTGAACTTTTCTTTGACTTAAGTGTTTAAGCTGCAGATAGGGCTGCTGAAAATCAGAATGCTGAAACCGGAAATTCTTTTCTAATGGGAAGGACACATTGTTAGTGTGCCTGGGTGGGGCGGGTGGATGGTTGGCAGGAGGCTGAGTAGAATTCCTATGCAGAATATGCCTGTGTTTTCTATATACTTTGTATCCATTATCTTTTGCAGGACAAGAAGCTAATTAAAGCTCTTTTTGATGTATTGGCACATCCACAAAACTATTTCAAGTACACAGCACAAGAATCAAAGGAGATGTTTCCAAGATCATTTATAAAGCTACTGCGATCGAAAGTTTCCAGATTTCTACGACCATACAAATAGCTTCCTAGCCGTTTTCCTTTTTTTTTTTTCTTTTGCATTCCTGTCAAATATTCTATTGTCTTCAACGGTAGAAACATTTTGGCTAATTTGAAGACTCCTTGGCAGTCTTTTTCTTAAATTGTATATGGAAGAATAACTATAATGTTTTATAATCTCCAATATTTTGAATGAGATTTTTTTTTAACTTCAGAGAAGAATGGTTTTGGATTCCAGAGTGCATCAAATTGAAGATTCAGATTTAAGTCTGCACTAGTTTATCTTCAGTTTATCCTCAAAAAGCATTTGTTTTTAGAAAACATTTCTAACCTTTTCTACGGAAAGAAATTTTCTTCTAAGCAAAGAAGAAACCTGGTCAAAGAAACTACCTGCAAAGAAGAGTTATAATAGAAAGGAGTATGTAGTACAAATAATACTTGGATTTTGAATTGCACTTGAACTTTGTATGGGAAATCTTATGGGGAAATCTAAATTCACAGTTTCCTTTTGTCGGTTTTGTGGAGACTTTGTTCTGGGTATAAACCAAAAACGAAGGAGGATGGGGATAAAATAGGTATGTAATTTTTGTTTGATAGATTAGGCAAGATCTAATCTCACAATCTGATACTTAGTTGGCCGTGTTGTAGCATTTTCAAAATTATGATGGTATCTAATGCTGCTGGTGCAATGATGGAATTATGGACACAGTTTGGTTTCTCTGACAGATTTTGCTATAGAATTGAAAAAGCCCAAGGAAAAATTGCTAAGTTTCTTGTCCTTGCTCTCAAATCTAAACAAGTACAGTGTATGAATATATGAATCTCCTTGTGAGTACTTCAGTACTTCTCTCCTCCCAGGTGCTCAGTATTATAATCTATAGGTAATGTAAATACAATTCAAACGGTACTTTCTCTTGCTGTAGTCCAGAGCTCTGCTTCCACCCACTGACAAATGAAGCCAGGATGGAGGGACGTGTTGAAAGCAGAACTCTGCAAGCCTGCAGGAAGACATCCCCTTTTATAGCAGGGCTTCATTTTCAGGACCAGGACTTGGCCACCCTCTTTATTCCACCATTTTGTAGGAATTCTTGAAAAATGTTGTAATGTCAGTTAACCTCAGGCTTGAAGTAAATTAACAGTCGAGAGACTGACCAGCAGTAATCTGGATACAAAATGCTAGGGGTTTGGTGTAACTAGAAAATAAGTATAGTGAATTAATTATTTTGGTGTTTTTGAAAATGTTTTTGATGGACTGAGTATGCACCCATAGCTTGCTGGTTCATAATCCTCAGTCAATTTGATTTAATGCAATAAGGCCAGGCTGCTAGGTTATCCTATATTATTTCCTTACTTATAACTGCTTTGGAATGTAAGATACAACACTGTTGTCTCTTACCTATGTTGTTTGCATTTAAACACCTTTCAGAAGAAATATTATAGACTGTGTTGCATTTTAAAACATAGCCATGTGCATATAAAATAGCATAGAGAAGCAAAAAAAAAAAACAACGTAATTTTTTTGTCATCCAAATTCTAAGATTTGATGGATGTATTATGGAAATAACGTAGCCATGTAGAATTGTTCCTTCTTTCACCTATCTGCCATTATCTAGCTCATCTACAATCATGAACTTGCTGTACCACCTGTCAGATCACTGTAATGGCGTTTTCCTGATAAACTCACAAGTTCCTTACAAGATTGAACCATATTAGTGCATTTGTATTTTAAGCTTGTTTGTGCTAGCCACGGGACTTCTGTATCTTTTTGACTACAGGTGCCAAAATTCACTAGCAATTTCCCCAGTCAGAATTCAGGGAACTAAGTGCTTATAGGAGTTTTCCGTCAGCTCTTTTAGACTCCATGATGTTGCTGTGAAGATAGGGGGCATTCCTGGGAGGGGCAAAGCTCCAGAGGAACTGCAAGGTATTATGAGACTGCTAGTGTTTGCATCCTTATGGGCAGGGAGAGTACCAGCCTTTTTAGCATGTTGTTTTAATTTTTCTTCAAGTTCAGCCAGGTTTTGTTGTTGACTGCTGATAGTCCTTTGTTTGCTATGTCCCATAGGTTTAGTTTGCAAAGCTAGTAACACCCATTTAACAAAATCTGACTTCTCTCTGGGTAAGCTTATATGATTGTAGCGATGTTTGCTTTCTTAGCTGTGTGCTCCCTCCTTCTTGCCAGATGTTTATGCTAAGGAGTGGCTTGTACTTCCTAAGCAAGTAGACAAACCTTTTTTTCAGTATTCCTTTTTGACCCAAGGAGTTCATTAATATACTTGCCAGTCTAATAAAAGACCTTAAGGCTTGTATATATCTTAAGTGCATATAAGCCATATTCTGTTATGTGTTCAGCATTAAATTATTAAATTCCACTAAGATTTGTAATATATTGCTTTCTAAAGTTCTTTTCAAAACAATTAACATTGGTAACAGGTATGATGGCCAAGCAGCAAGTACAGACTAGCAACAATATGTAGCAACAAGAAGGTGGCTATACTAAATATTGCCCCAAAGCTACCAAACACACGCACACGTGCGCACACACATGCACACTTAACTTGTACTTTTTAAAGGTGTACAGCTCATATGCCTTGGCTAAGAAATCTAGAGTTAAAATCTCTAGTTTCAAGCACACGCACACGGGAGTGCGCGCACACACACACACTTGTACTTTTTAAAGGTGTACAGTTCATATCCCTTGACTAAGAAATCTAGAGTTAAAATCTCTAGTTAAAACATAAGTACCCATTTTTTTGTTTGACAAGAACCATCTGATGTTTAATAATACAAAAGAGGCCATGGATAGTTTAGGTCAACTGGGGGCATTCCGATTTTTTGTTTGATCTTTGTGAGCTTTGCTGCTCATTTGTGTTGAGTTACCTTTTATGCTTATGGAATTACTGTTCAGGTCCATTAATCTGATCTAGTTTCACAGTATCTTTGTCATGTGTACACCATGTTCATGTATGTACTGTATACACACACACACACATACACACACACGTGTGTGTGTTCCTATCAACTGTCAAAGTCTTTGGATTAGTTTTATTCTCCACATGCTGAGGTGGGGAGAGCAGCCTTCAGGAAGCATTCACCTGACACCATGCAAATGATCACTTATGTGAACTGAAGTAACCCGGATTCACTCAGTTTCTGTGATCATTATTTGCATGGTCCTGTCTCTATTCCCTGATCACACAGATGGCAGTACTGCCTGTTGGATGCCTGAGCTATACTCCTGGCTGACTGTTGTTTTATGATGTGCATGTTGTTAATATGGATGTCCATTATGATCCTTATTCTTTGAATTATCAGTCTTAGGTTTAACACAGCAGTGAACTGGCATAGAGAATTTTCTTCAATGTAGTTACCTTCCACTACATGATCATACATATTTTCCTGACTACATAGAAATTGGTAGATTATGCCACTGCAAAAAGCTAAATTCAGTTCAAAATGCTTAAACCTTGTGTTCATAATTTTGAATGTATTCTAGAAATTGGTCTGAATGTTCTGAACTGGCCAGGAACAAAATGAAAAACAAAAATAAAATGTAGTGGAAGAGGCACAAGATAGAAGTATTGATATATTTTCTGGTAAGATACAGATGCAGATTCACCTTATAGCTGTTATCATTCCCCATACTCTGCTTGATAACATTGCTATATGTTATATAGTCATTGTATTGCATGTAGATACATAAAAGCCAGACTCTTGACAATAGAGAATCACCAGGGCAAAAAACATGTAAGGACATCAGACATGGAAATGGAAAACCAGTGGCTTTCTTTCCCAGCCTCTTGGTTATCTCTGCTTATCTTCCATTTCTTTCAGTAGTTAACTTTCTCTCAATCCCTAGAAATAGTTAGCCACTAAGGCATAGAGAACATAGAAACAGAGAAGTGTTCCCTTCTGTTAGCGCCTGGGTTACATGTGGCCTTGTAAGCCAGACTCTAACAGCCTTTGTGGCTTTTCACTTGTGCCTTTTGGTCACTGCCATTTAAAAATACCTTGTGCATATGTATATACAAAAAAAAAGAGCAATTGTACAGAAAACAAATAAGCTGGTGTTGCTGAATGCCTGATACTCTAATCCCCATCATTTTCACCTGGGTAGAGAACCTTAGAAAACATTTGCTTTTTCCATTGCTATGGCATGGTCATAACATTCCACATCCACCGGCTGTGAGGAAAACAGGGGTCTCATTCCTACATCGTTCTTGCAACATGCTGACTCTGTGTGCAGCTGGTGTGGGAACAAGTACTTGACTTATACACAGTGTCCTTCTTTGGAAGTGTGTACAGAAGAATGTTTCCCTTAGTTGATTGGCAACATGTGTGCTGTCCAATGCCAATAAGCTTACATATCACATGGGTCAGTAGCACATGCAGGCCTGTGGGTACATATTCCCATCATGCTTGCCAAGTGGCAGGAGAAATTAGAGAATGGAAGCACAAAATCCATTCCCGTACCACACTGCGTGCAGACTCTCCTCTCTGGCCAGGGACAATGTGAAACATTTCTAAATCTAGAAGATACAATTTCTGTTCTGGGAAGATCACCTGTATGGAACAACTCAGTCTTTAACACAAAAATATTATCAGCTGCCAGGAAATATTAATGTTTAATAACAATAAAGAAGTAAATAACCCCTCAATTTTGTGAGTCACAGCTCATCTTTAATGAAAAAATACACCAAGATCTTATTTAATTTGCGAAGTCCCTGTTGCATTTCTGACTTTGCTCATTTCTGCATTAATTTGTCAAGTCCTTATCGGAAGTTTGCAACTAAGCCTATTGCTGATTTTCTAAATGCTTGGATATATTCTAGCCACATTGAGTGCTTTAAAGTCTCTTTGACTTAAATGGATTTAGGATATGTTTAATCCTTGGATTGAAAACAGGAGGACAAAGTGCTTAACTCTGCTGGATCATGTACATTATATTTGTTTGAAACTCTACCTGTAGCACTTATTTTTCAGCCTGTCTCCCCTGAATGTTGCACTTAATTCTTTTTTTAAAAAAGTCAAGTCATCTGTCTTTCCCAAACTATTATCAGTAGGGTGATAAATGACTGCCATACTGAGAAGGCTGAAGATGGTGAATATCAAAATTTACACACGTCTACAATAATAGTAGGCTTGTGCATAGTTAACCACAGAGCAATCTATGAAATCACATTGGAAGCAATTATTTTAATGCGCTTTCTTTATATGAATCTTGGGTTTATTATCCCCCTTCCTTTTATAGTTTGGATGTTGAAAAGTAGTTGCTCTTTCACAAAGGGGTTTCCCTCTTTAATGCAGTCCTGCAAATCATCACTGTAAATTCGGGAGGTAGACTCCAAGGACACAGTCTTAATGAGTCGAAATTTCTGAGGACCAGGTGAGCTGATGTCCAAACTCTGCTAAATACAAACCTTTTCCAGCCAAAGAATGTTGGAACTTACTTGGGACGATCCTCCCCTAGTCCAGCTTTGTGCCTGTTTTAGCAGCTGGATCTGGCATAAGCCAGGTCCTCTTTCACATCCCTCTTTCACCTCTGCCATTAGACCTTAGCCAGCAGAGCAGTTCTGCTGTTGGATTTCTGAGATCAGCTGGCAGAAGGAGATTTCTGATGGCAGAAGGAGATTTCTGATGGCAGAAGAGGCTTGTGCTTAATCTTCAACCTCCACCCACCCACCCAGAGCCAGCTAGGTTGAGTTAACAGATGACCACTTGAAGAAACACAGTTACAGGTAAACAACCTGCCTTTCCTCACCTCCAAACAGCCAGCACACCTCTGAGTAGAGTTTGCATTGTATGTCACAATCCTGAACGAGAAATTCTGGGCTGTTTCAATTCCTGCTTTTTCTTCTGTAACTTGCAGCTTCATCTTGGTATCCGCAACAGATCTATAGCAAATCTTGATCTTGCTGAAATTCATATTCAGATACAATCCAGATTTTATGACTAGTTGTCTGGTACAATTATTTTTGGTTTTCTCTCATATCAAGCATGTGCAAAACCGTTAACACCTTTTAATTAGATGCTGTAGTGCCTGTAATGTAAATTCAACTTAAATATGAAAGAGCAATCTACAGGATAATCCAAGTATAGATCCTTCTTAATGGAAGCAGATCAACAGGAAAAGGGAGAGATAGTAGAGCAGCTGAATGGTAAAAGAAAGAATACAACAAAGTCCTAAATTAGGGTTGTTAAACTATAGTCCATGGTCACATGCACCACCCCAGTGTGCTTCCCCAGTGCTAGAACAAAATTGACATACAGATGATTCTTCACAAACCCTGAACTCCCTGGGGAACACTTGGTCATTTAAAGTCGATTCTGAGGTCAGGGTCTGTTTTATGCCCTTTTATTTACCAGTGTTGCTCAATTTAAAATTATGGATATATATGATATATAGGTAAAATTAAAAACAAACTAAAATGTTAAGATAACTAGGCTATTTTTCATGAGAAGCAGGCTACGTTGATAGCAGTATTTCAACTATTTATTGGATCTTCCTTTGGAAATGTGATGGGGCATAAACTGCATGTACCTATGTGCTGTGTTGATTTAATTTCTCTGCTGTCAGAGAACATTTGTCCCGTATCCAAGTAACCTCGTTTTATTTGATTATTCTTTGACTTTTCTACTTTGCTTTGAAGCCTGTCAAGTGACTTCCAGATGGTCCAGCCAGAGTCTTGGCCTGGTGGGAAATACTACCAAATACCCTTTTTCAAAACCAGACACAGCCAGCTTTTTAAAAATAGGCTGGTGTGAATTACTGAGGTCCAGAGAATGGGCAGGTGTGAATTACTGAGGTCCAGAGGAGTGTAAGAAGGACCCTCAGATACTCTAAGCCAGTGGTGTCGAACTGTGGAAATTAAAAACAAACTAGAATGTTAAGATAACTAGGCTATTTTTGATGAGAAGCAGGCTACATTGATAGCAGTATTTCAACTATTTATTAGATCTTCCTTTGGAAATGTGATGGAGCATAAATTGCATGTACCTATGTGCTATGTTGATTGAATTTCTGTCAGAGAACATTTGTCCCGTATCCAAGTAGCCTCGTTTTATTTGATTATTCTTTGACTTTTCTACTTTGCTTTGAAGCCTATCAAGTGCCTTCCAGATGGTCCAGCCAGAGTCTTGGCCTGGTGGGAAATACTACCAAATACCCTTTTTCAAAACCAGACACAGCCAGCTTTTTAAAAATAGGCTGGTGTGAATTACTGAGGTCCAGAGAAGTGTAAGAAGGACCCCCAGATACTCTAAGCCAAAATAATCTCCATTAATCATGGGTGATTGACCTTTGGCCTCCATATTTTTTGAACTCTAACTTACTATTGGGAATTTAAGTCCAAAACAACTGAAGGGCCCTACTTTAGGACTTCCTGCCCTACTTTAAATAGTAAGTTTCTTGCAATTGTTTATGTTAATTT